TGGGCAAATGGTTCATGCTTTTCAACCAATCAGATCGCGCGGATTTACTTGACTATATTATAAAATATTATGTTACAACAACAGTGAAAAAAACACTTCCAAGTCCAAAACAAACGAGAAAAGGTTTTAAGCTTTATGAGCTTTTAAAAAGATTTGTTGTCCAAGGTTCTAATTGTTTCAGGCTGAGGTTAATTATTACAAAAGTAAGAAAAAGGTTCGCTTTATTTTAGCGGATTTTGTGAGGAGTTTAACCCGGAAATACGATTCAAATTAAAAATACTCTAATAAGTTTTATATAAAATATTTTAGATTTAACGCGCGCGCTGATTGGCTGGCTACCGTGTTTATATCAGAGGACAGAGACGCTCATGCGAATCAAAAAATATTTTATAAAAGCGATATATGTGTCTTTATACTGTGATATAAACACTCTGGGAACTGTAGAGCACTTGAGAAGTCAAAGAAACACTCCGATACGCCTCGTGTTTCTCTATGTCTTCTCTCTTGCTCTACAGCTCCCATGGCGTTTATATCACAGTATATAGACACGCACGCYGTATGTTGCATTGTAATTGGTTGGAAGCACATTGCTTCATGCTTCATGAGAGCATACGTGTAGCATGTGCTCCAGGTTTCTATTGCATCATACTTGTGTCCAAAATGACCGTTATTGGAATCTATATTTTATTTTAAAAAATAACAACTTGCTCGCTGTGCCTTATAATATGTGCTAACATCATAAAGTTCTTGGAGATTGGCAGAACATGTGAAAAGAGTTGAGAAGCACTCTGCTATGCATTGAGCTTTTCTTCTCTCATGTTCTAAATGGCTTGTGATTATCACTGGGTGCTTTAATATCAAAGCATGTTTATAGCAGCTGATATAGTTAGCCAAATTAATGACATTGGCCCATTGCAGGATATTCTCAATGCAGCCCAAATCAGAGGACAAAATAATAGAAAATGTTACTCTCATGAGATTAACTGAAATCCATTGTATTGTCCTCTGAGTTGAATGGCTCTGGGAATTGCTCAAACCAGTCTATTAATCTTTGCTGAAACTTTCTTCAGTGGAGATCTTAAATTCCGATACCAAAAGATACATATCAGAACTAAAAAGGCAAAAAAAATTCAAAATATTGATAACTGATAAATTGCTAAAAAAAATGTTTTTCTCATTTACAGTTTTTAGTCTTGGGGACTATCGACGTAAGATGATGGATGGTTCTCATTTTGATCACTCATTCTTTGATCCTAACAACCCCAACGGCATGATGATACGAGAGTAAGGGAATTAATCCTATTGCTATGTACATATACTGTCACCAAACCACTGTAAACCACCTTCATATGCATGAACTACGCCTCCTAAAGTCTTATGAGACATATGGCGCAGTGGTTAGTGCTTCCAACTTTCACTCCAGAGGTCAGTGGTTCAAGACCTGGCTGAGGTGTAAAATGTGAAGGTGTAAAAACCTTGGCTCTCTACATTGGGGACTGTGAGTCCCTCGTGGCTCAGATGACCATGTTAATGGTGGTCCTGTCTCCAATTTGGGATGTAAAAGAACCACTGAGGAGGCATCAAGCCCTTGCAGTGACCACCCTCAGTGCCAGCAATGAGGTCGGCTTGGTGTAGTGTTCCAAAAAGGTTACTAGTGAATGAGACCTCCTCACACATTACCTACATTAATAACCATAGAAATATTCATCATAACCACAGCTACTATACCAAGGGAATGTTGCTGGATGTTGGATGGAAAACAAAACAAAACAAAACTTCATTGTAAGATTTGTTACCAAAAATAATTTAATAATTTATAATAAATTTTCTTATAGAAAATGTGCAGAACTCATCTTAGATGACATAGTTAAATGGCTGGAAGGAAAGCAAAAAGTTGCTGTAAGTTTTTATTTGTATCCAAAATTGTTTTATATGTAAAATAATAAATATTTAAATTGCATATAGTAGTCCTCTAAAAAGCCTTGAAATTTTTTATCGAACCCTAGGCCGATGAATGCAATATCTGGTTAAATCAAAAATTATTTTGGGATTTAGCTTGCTAGGTTTCGTAGAGGAAGAAAGCTGGAGAACGCCCTGAAAAAACCTTTAATCAAATTTGGGGAGGCCTAAAAAGTTTTTGCTCTGACTTATGGATTAGTGAGTCCAGGAATTATTAATCCCAAGACACTGCTGCAATACTGACTAATTTGATTAAATCACTCTATACATTAAATTATATTTTGCAATAATTTGTTTGTGTATACTAATCCTTTATAGATTTTTGATGCCACAAACTCTTCTCGTAAAAGAAGACAACACATTATTGAGCACTGTATGAAGAATGAATGCAAAGTATGTTTGCTTTGAACTTCGTTAAGTTACACAAACAATATTAAATTTGCATAAGTTTAACAGTTATGTTATGTTAGGAATTTGTTTCTATGTTCATATTTATCCCCTGGGGTTTCTTATGAAGAGAGGTCAGGAAAGAAATATGTGCCCCTAAGTTTGTTCAAAGCTAAACCCATTGACAACTGAATGTTAGTTTATTAATATGACCTCCATGGACCTAGACTTATTTACTTAGCAGTGTTCATTGTTTCTTTCAAGGTTTTATTCATAGAATCGGTAGTGGATGATCCTGCTATTGTCAGAGCAAATGTCATGGTAAGATAGATTTGGAAGAAATTACTGATGTATTTTTATATTAAAACTGCTGTTTTCGATATTCTGCAAACTTGTTGTGCCTGAAGCTGCATGCTGTTTTTTATTTTATTTTTTATTTTTTGCTGTTGTCAATCAAGAATAATCTGTTGGTATTTTTTAGATTTTTGTCTTGTGGCAGTGAAGGAACATTATTCCATTGTAAGCTGTTGAAATGTCTGAGTTTGCAGTCTATTGAGAATTGCAGTAAACATAAGAATTAAAATATAAAATAGACCTCTTTACCTTGGGCGTGGTGTTGTCCCATTTCAGACCATGTGTCATTCCCTAGAGTGTTATTCCTTTGTTTACCAGTTATGGATGAGAAGAACACCCATAGATATGGATAAAACCTTTAAAACAAAGAATCTTATTTTCGAAATGATGACACATGGGTGGAAATGAGAAAATGATAATTAATATTGCCCCAGGTAAAGAGGTCTAGTGAACATTGGATGGTTTTTGGAAAATGCTTTAGAGTTTGGATGTAACTGTCAAAAGTCTCAGTACTGTTATTAATTACTGTATTAAATCTATATTTTAAAGGCTGTTAAGATCAGTTCACCAGATTACACTGATGTACCCTCTGAAGAAGCTTGTGAAGATTTTTTGGCACGAATAGAGCACTATAATCAGGCTTATGAACCCCTTTGTATGGCAGAAGATAGGTTAGTGGAACCTGGTTTGATCATTTTTTTAATAAATTTTTTAAACTAGTAATACCACTAAGCTACAAATGCAGAACCCCTTTGTGCCATTCTAACAGAAAACAAGGAATATTTTTCTAAGTCAACAATATTTCCACATGATTCGTTCAACAGGCATATTTCATACATGAAGATCATCAATGGTGGAAAGAATTTTGTTGTGAATAAACTACAAGGTAAACACCATCTAGCCATTCTGTCTTGATTAATTTTGTTAGAATAGTGGTAGATTTTACATCTGTTTGAATTTAATTAAGTTCCTGGATAAAATTTGGGACATTGATAAATTCGCCAGCTCATATATTAGTCGAAAGCTAAAAGTCAGAAAAATAATAAGTTGATATATAGGCATGCCAGTGGCTGCTTTTTCAAAATGAAAAAAACCTAATACTTAAATTCCTATTTCCAGGTTACTTGGAGAGTAGAATAGTCTACTATCTAATGAATATTCATATCACTCCAGGAGCCATCTACCTAACTAGGGTAAGCCTAAGACAGAAATATACTATCAAACATGCAGCACATGGGTAGTGTAGTAGTAGCTATTGGATATAGAGTCAATTCAAAAAATGTTGTCGTCGACCAACTCTAGCCTACGCGACTGGACCGAAAGGAACTCTGGGTTGTAATCATTGAAGCCGAGTTGACTCCATAATTTTATCTGACTAGTTATGCCTGGTTTACAGCACGAACCTTCGTAGGCGAGCGGGAAGTGTTGAAGGAGACGTTTTTTTAATGCCTTCATAGTTTCGGAATGGTGAACTGAATCATAACTACTTTGTTTTTCTTTCCCTAAGACAGAAGACATGCATTTGATGGATTTTTTCTTGCTATTATTATCTTTATTACTAGCGGGAACAATTAATTCAGAACGAATATTTAACCGCTTCAGTGATTTTTACCCATATTCCTTTCGGTCTAGTCGCGTAGGCTTGAGCTGGTCGACGACAACGTTTTTTGAATTGACTGTATATATGATGATCGTCCATCATATATACTTGGGTAGAATTGTTTGTTGATTCTCTCCTGTACTTCATGAGTTTTCACCAGTTTTTCTACCTCCATGCATGAAGATCACTCTTTGAATATTCCAATTCAATCTTAATTTGTGCTTTCATTAATAGATGGTAGCCTCTATGTTTTGATTTTCCCACAATCATCCCACACTGTGGGATACATGTAGTATCTTTAAGGCCAGCTTTACCAGTTGAATACCATCACCAATGTAAAGCTAAATAACATTCATATTTGACAGTAATCTTTTACATTTTTAGCATGGAGAAAGCATGTACAACCTTAAAGGAAGAATTGGAGGGGATTCTGACTTGTCGCAAAGAGGAATTGCTGTAAGGAAAATTCATTATCATCATCTCATTATGCTTAATTAAGTTATGTACATGTATCTGGCCGAGACCAGGGCCTTAATACCCTGATAGTCAGTTTCTGTAGCAAAAGTATATACAAAAGTGTATACTGTGAGAGGGTTGCTGACTCTATCACACATGCAAAAAAAAAAAAGAGAAAGAAATGGCAGCCCCATGCACAAATAAAACAAGAAAAACTACTTCACAATAAACTGCCCACGCCTTTTCACACATTTTCTTTTTAGATTTACCTAAATTTATTCATAAAATAAATCAATGTCTTTGTTTTCAGTATGCCTATAAGCTTGCTGAATTTATGCAAAGCCAGAACCTTGAAGATCTTAAGGTAGGATAAACTCAGGCAAATACTCAGGTGGGATTTTTTAAAAGATATTATGAACCTGTCTTACATACTAGACTTTAAGTTCCCTGAACCCCTAAAAACTGTGCAGTATTTAGTCTTAAAGATAAGTTTTCCAAAATCTTGCAAAGATCTGTTGGACCCCTTGCACGGATAAGTGCAATAAAGTATATGAATTTATTCAAAGGTTTTATTGCATGTCCATGTTCGTAGGTTTGGACAAGTGAATATAAAAGGACAATTCAAACAGCTGCTGCAATGAAAGATGTGCCAATGGAACAGTGGAAGGCAATCAATGAGATAGATGCTGTAAGTAGGGCATGTTCTCTTACTAGAGCAACAGCAGGTCATAGGAAGTGGGACCTGATTGGATGGCTAGCCACCAAATTTGAAAGTTTTAAGAACCAATGTCTATCTTAAGTCATCAGTTGCAACCAGTAAATCAAAATTATTTTCAACGTTTTTTAATTCTTTTTCCAGGGAGTATGTGAAGGAATGACTTATGAAGAAATCCAAGAGAAATACCCTGCAGATTTTGCCAAAAGAGATGAAGATAAATTCCATTATCGATATTCTAGAGGAGAGGTAAGGCAGCGCTGATACTATATTATTGTATCTAAGCCATACAATATTTGCTCTGACTTGCTTCGTGTCAAACATAGGGTAGTCAGTAGATTGAGTGTAAATTAAGGTATGCTTAGTTGGTAAGAAAAGTAGGTGGTTAGTACAGTGTATTGATAAATGATTGGTCCTCCCCATAGCAGGGGGAGGGGCCTTTATCATTAATAATGAATAAATATAAATGTTTGGTTTTTTTTTGTATTCCAACAGTCCTATGAAGATTTAGTGGCACGACTAGAACCAGTCATTATGGTAAGATAAAAGATCTCCAAATGAAAATACTTGATAAACCCTATGTATTGAGGGTCCTCTTGCTCTTGCTGCATTACCCAAGAAAACATGTACAGTTGAGGTGGCAAAGCCATACAACCCTCAAGCACCAGAGAATAAGTTATATCTCCTTTCTGTAACAAGCACAGGTAGCCCAAAAAAGTGGAGCAGGCCAAGGAAAGACCAACAACTGAACTATGGAGCCTATGTACAGTCTACTTGTAAAGAAATGTAACCCATCTACTCGTTTTCATTTTTTTTTTTTATTTATTTATTTTAGGAGCTTGAACGCCAGAAGAATGTCCTTGTAATATGTCATCAGGTAAATGCTGCTTCAATGCTGATCAGAAGGAAGGGAGTTAATAGGGAACAAATATCAGTATTTAGATCCCTTGCAGGATATTCCCCATGTAGCCCAATTACGAGGACAAACCAATAGAATCTTACTCTCATGAGAACTGAAATTAATTGTTTGTCTTCTGAGTTGAACGGGTCTGGAAATTGCTGAAACTGGTCCAGGGACGGCGGGGGGGGGCTATGAAATTTGTAAAATTTTAATACATTTTCACTAAACTCAGCCCCCCTACCTTGCCGTACAATGTCACTATTGAGCCCCCCCAATCAAAAAACTGCTCCGCTATCCCTGTGGTCTATTATATCAAATCCTTTTTATGCTTTCTCTTGATGGTGTTGACAGGCTGTTGCTCGTTGTCTACTTGCTTACTTTCTGGACAAGAATTATGAGGAACTTCCATACATCAAAGTCCCATTACACAGTGTTCTAAAACTGACTTCAGTAGCTTATGGTAAGTTTTATTCCTAGGCTAAAATCCTTATTCTTGTAGGATTAATTTTATGAAGAACCTTGATGAAATTAGAACCTAACTAAGAATGCAAATGCATCAATATTGTAAAATGCAAAGCTAGAAAATCAGGAATTTTGGCAATAAGAAGCTTTTCTCTTTACCTTTCTTTCTCTTTCTTCCTTGCTTTTGCAGGATGTCAAGTTGAGCAGTTTGACCTGAATGTTCCTGCTGTAAATACTCATCGAGAAAGACCTAAGGTAGGCGGGAATAGTGTTAGAAAACACATCAAATATATGACATCCTGACTTTAAAATGGCTTCCACGACTTGCACGTTCCTCATACGTCCTGACTCTTAAATGGCTTCAACATACAAGCATTGTGGTTTTTTGACGTGCATATTCCTCATATTTGATTGGTTCATAGTATGCCATCCTTCCACATACATCATTGTGATTGGATGACTTGCATGTCCCTCATATATACTTGATTAGTTCATATTGGAAGCCATTGGTTAATTGGTTGTCATGGAGACTCACGCACTCATTACACCCAAGTTCAAGCTAGATAAGACATCTTTTTTTCTTTTTCTTTTTCTACAGAATGTATCCATCAGCCGTGATTCTGAACACGCGCTAGAGACCGTTCCAGCACACGAATAGTTTGAAGTAATGCTTGAAAACCGTAGCGAAAGTCGGTGAATTAATCAATATGTGTAGTCACTAAATATCGGCAACTTGGCCAACGATCGAGAAGAATCACGACAATGCCCACTGTGCAGTAGAAAACAATAACATATAGCTTTTAGTTAGGATTAATTTCCAAAATTTTAAATCAGACACAATGTTATGAAGTAACTGTCATGATTCTCGCTTCTGATTGGTTGAAGTGAATGCTTTATAGGAGCACACAGCACACGCGTGCTTTTTCTATTTTTTTACCATTTTCTTTCATTTTCACGAAGTTCCTCCTTTCACATGACGTCTTCGTTTTTAATTTATATTTTCTTAGCTGAAGATAAAATGATAGCACATGTTTAGGTAGGAGTTTTGTATAATGAATACCTAGTGCATGGTAGAGTGCAAACCATATATTCGTGAAGAGCACAACAACTCTACAGCACTGAACACATTTATATATTTTGTTTTCATTTGTTTCATTGGTGCTATTTTGTACTAATTAGTTAGTACTATTTCACAGATATGTGGTTTGAAAGCCATTACATCTATAGACCCCTTGCATGTGACTTCGAAGAAGTTCAATTTGGAAGACAAAACAAAATAATTCCAATCTCCTGAGAATTGGAAACCTATCGTTATGTCCTCCAAATTGAACTGCATTCCGACGTGCTGCAAGAGGTCTACAAATTGGATGTTGTATTGACAGTATAGAGGTCATGGCAAAACAATAGAATCTCTTATTAACTCTGGGGAATTGAATTATTTCACATGTAAAACGATTGGCCCTGTCATCCAACATGGCTGTCGTCTTGTCAGTGATCGTACAAAACTTCCATAGTGAATATAAATACATCTTTATTGTACAACTTTATTTATATCAAGAGCTAAATGTAAAATGGCTAATGGGGGAATCATTTTTATTATTTATTGTTTCGTTGACGGAGGAGCTTTTGGGCAGAACAACTCATAAAGAAAATCAAGTAAGATCTCCCAGACAAAAAGCACCAATATTCTTGCACCAAACGGGGRAAAAAAAATTTTCCTAAAAAATAATGTATTTTAATCGTTCTAGACTGTTATCCGTGAAAACTGAACTTCATTGTTCTAGAAAAGCTTTCATCTTGATTTATTATATGATAAACTGTGCGCGCTGATTGGTCAAAAATTGTGCTTTTTTAGTGAACGGAGCACAGTGCTGACGCCATCCGCGTGTGCTGCTAGATCCTGTGACCGTCTTTCTTTTTGCGTAAATAAATTCAATACCAAAATAAAATTAGTAACTATATAATAAAACTACGACTCGTGCTTCTCCTTACCCCTCTTTCGTGCTTACGTTACTTCCTGCGTGCTTTATTACTGAACAGAGCACGGAGAAAGCTGTTTTGTTAATGAGACGCCCTATAGGCGTTCACGGRGTTGCCTGTATAATGCACAGAGGCCTAGTACACAGCTGAAGAGATTTGTAATGTTAGCCAAAAGGACAGCCAAAAGGTAATAGAATGTTTCACAGAAAATAATAATTTCGTTTAACTCGTCTAAGACGAACTTCTCCCTTAAGGTGTTCTCTACATAATATTAAAATAATTGCAGGTTCTGCCCCTTTTTAGGCTATAAAATAAACAGTTTTGCATTGCGCATGTCACACTACTTGTGAATTTGATCTTGCGCCATGACGCAAGAAGATCAAATATTCCAATGTTTTCAGTCCGAATCACAAATTAATAGTTCTTATTTACCATTCTTTGTTATGATGATATTTACTGGGGTAGYCGTTTATTTTCCTTGTCATAAAAAGCAGAAATTGCACAATAGTGTCCAGAAGTCTTCACAGCACCACCCACTAGTCCTTTGAGGGCATATCATGATAGAGAGCCAAGTGCAGTAAATGTTCTTGTCAGCAAACTTTGCTAAGAAAGATAGTAAAGCACAGCTCTACTTTTCGCGGATCGATATTGCTTATATGACTGACAACGTCGAACTTTTACAGCAACCGACTAGGAATGAATATTTTTTCACTAAAAAGATTGCATCATTGTTGAAGATTTAAATCTAATAAAAAATGGATTGAAAAAAAGAAAGATCTTATGTGGATAAGATGAGATTCGAACCCACCAAAAGAAATTCAAAAAAAGATTCCACTGTGCCATACCCCCGAGACATCCGCAGAGCTGAGGCGGCGTATGGACTTCGGAC